AGATAGATAGATAGATAGATAGATAGATAGATAGATAGATAGATAGAGGTAATTTCCCTAGAGAAAATGTAAACTCCTCATGGGCAGAGATTATTTTATCATTGTACCCAGTGTCACAGTACCTGGCACAGAGTAGGCACTTACTAAATTATTGTTGACTGAGTGGTCATCCCGTCCATATATGTCAGAGGCAAGGGCTTGGATTAAGATCTTCCTGATGCCAAGACTGGCCCTTTATCCAATACACCACACTGCCTCTCCTGCTAATTGATGCCAAAATCAAAAGTATGAATAGAGCTATGTTAAAACAAAAATATGAAGTCTAAATCTGTTGCTAATGTGTATAATTACGTGTGTGTGTGTGTTTGCATGCATAATGACTATTCCTAAATATGATTCCCTGGATCTCACTTTCCTCATCAGTAACATGAAGGGGTTGAGCTCAGTGGTCTCCAAGATCCCTTCCTGAGCCTATATCTATAATTCTAAAAGCCTTGATCCTTAGTAGTAACTGCTCATATTTATAGAGTTCTCTATGGTTTGCAAAGCATTTAATAATATCATCTCATTTGAGCCTCACAAAAACCTTGAGGCAGAGGTGTTCTGATTTTTCTCATTTTACAGATAAGGAAATTGAGGCCAAGAGGTTCTATGACTTGCCCAGGGCCACACAGCTAGTAAGTTTCTGAGGTAGGACTAAAACATTGGTCTTCCAAGTTGAGCATTCTATCTATCCACTGCCCAGTCATCCGGCTGCCCTTGCAAAATAGTTGTCATATTTACCATGTTTCTGAAATGAACTGTTTCAAAAATGAGCTTAAATTTACCTCTCTCACTGACTCTCCCTTGTGTTACAAAGGATTAGTTCACAGATAACCCAGAGAACTTCTGCCCATTCATCTAGATGTAAAGCTAATATTGCAACTGTTTTTGTGGCCTAGCAATGTCATTCACATGTATGATGACCAGCTGTTGCCAAGATTGAGAGGGCAAATAGTGAAGCTGTTGCCTGGTGGTGCTGGTGGAAATGTGCCCAGTGTGTTCAATGATACATTCTAGAAGACATTTTTGAATTCCATAAGTTATGGTCATTTTAATATTATCCTTGATGATGTGCTGGGTTTGGGAAGCCATAATACTTAGCAGTCACTCGGCCAGTTTAATTGTTGTTGTTCAGTCATTTCAGTCAGTTTATAGTTAATTACATTTCTAAATAATCAAGAGAGGAATGGGAGGATATGGCAAATGGTTTCTAAATTATAGAATGATAGGTTTAGAGGTGGAAGGAACATTAAAGATCATCTAGTCTAATTTTACAAATAGAGAAACTGAGACCTGAAAGAGTGTTACCCAAGAGTTTTACCGAAGGTCACATAGAAAGTAAATAGCAGAGCTAGGATATGAACCCAGATGTTCTGACTCCAAATCTAATGTTCTTTCCATTGTGCCACATAATAAACATGATTGACCAAAATACTTGATAAAATATAGTATTCTGATTAATGTAATTTTCTGATTAACTAAAGATTGGGCTTCTTGATTTAAAAAAATGGATCTAAAATATATGTTGATTTCCTTATATAGGATAAATAGTTTTGTCCTTTCTTGAGAACTAGGATCCTACATTACCTCAGGACAATCAAAAACAACCATTTTCATGTAATGTACCATAGATATAAAAGTTAAGAGATTAGGTTGAAGTCAATTAAATCTTCAACACCAATTTATTTTATTGTGATTTGTTTCTTTTTCTAAATAGTGAAACACATTTTAAAATTCCAATTAATTGATAGTTTAGGTTAGTAGGATCTTGAATAATCAAAGCTCTCCTGTACAATCCAGAAATCATTCTTGTTTCATAGGAAGCAGTCTTTAAAATTCCATTATCAATAGAAAAAATCTTTGCAAAGAATACCTTCTCCTTCAAGAACTTTTCAAAAGAATCAACTTTTTTGTGTTTTATACTAAGACATTTCACCACAAGGACACAATTTCTTTTAACAACAATAACAAACATTTATTAAATGCTTACTGTGTGCCAGGCACAACGGTAGACATTAGGTAATAAAAAGACAAAAATCATAACAGTCTCTTCCCTCGAGGAATCTGAATTCTATTGGAAGGTGGGAAGGGTTCATGCTGGAATATCTTGTACAAATAAAATTAATTAAAAATATATACAAAGCAATTTCCAAGGAGAATACATTGCAAGAAGAAATCAGTAATCTAGGAACTACAGGATAGGAAAAGTTCATAGGTTAGAGTAGCAAAGATACAACTCCGTAACACAAAAATATTACTAACACAAAGCAAGACATATCAAAGTAGATTTTTGGCTTCCTTTGAATTATCAAGACTATCCCTAAACACTGGTTGACTACGTTTGACCTGTTATCATAGTGAGACTGCTTTTTGTTTTGTCTTTTAGTACCACACCTTCTATGGAACAGTTGCCTAAAAAATAGCTAGCAAATAACCTATGGTTTGGATTGCATAGGTCTAGCCTGTCTGTATTCATCAAACCAGATTGTTGCAATGTGCAAGGCACTGTACTTTCTGGACAGTGAAAAATTTATTAATTCTGGTAAGAGATGAACAGTCAGTGTTTCAGTGCTATTGGAAAATTATGATTTGGATTGCTTGCTGATGTGTGTAAAAAGAAACAGGGGAAAGCTGGAACAATCAGCAGCATTGACTGTCCTAAACAGTGATTCTTGGCCTTCATATTACAGGAAGCATATTTTATTCCCCTAATCCCCTCTAGCTTTTTCAAATAAACATGTACTCTTTGCTCTCTATCCCAAGATCATAGAAATTTTTGTTTCTGAATCCCAAAAGAGGGATCTTTTTTTTTTTTTTTGGATATCTCTCTGTCCCAGAGAGGGGGAAAATTATTGTAGCTAACATCTGCAGAGACCTTATGACTCTCAAAAGTTGTAAGGTATTACAGAAATACCATAGATTAACAATAATATAGTTTCATTTCATAGAATTGTAACCTCTACTGACTCTTTCCTAGCGGTTCATACTATACATCAACAAAGGGGATCATGGCTATGATAATGCAGACATGGACATGAAAATGATATTCAGAGCATTTGGACCAGATTTCAAGAAGAATTATCTGGCAGAGCCTTTTGACAGCATTCACATTTACCCACTGATGTGTAAACTCCTGGGAGTGACACCAGAACCTCACAACGGGTCTCTGACAGTTACACAGGACATGCTTGTGGACACTTTCAATCAAGAGTCAGGTGAGATATAAAACCAGCAGCCGAATGAATCTGCAGACAATCTACTTTAAGAAAAAAAAGTAAAGTACAATTGTGTTACCTAATGCTTCTGCAGGATGACAGAGATTCTTCAACATTCATTAAGCTCATAATCCCTCCAGGTTCCATTAGAGCTCCAGACAGTCACTTTTGTAGGAGACATCTTTAAAACAAAAAGCCAGGGAATAATCCTTGTCTATGCCCCTGAGTTACCCGGGGAGTAATGGAGAAAGGTAGACTACTCTGTGATTTCTCTTCTAAAAAATCCATCTGCCTCCTGACAAATTTGTGTGTCCAAAAGTTTGATGGTTGCTTGCCATGATTAAAGAGTGGTTCTTTGAAGTGGAATCAAAAGCTTCATAATTTCATTCACTGTTGAAAAACAGAACTCTGGAAATCCTAACTCTAGGGTACTTCGCCCAACTTCTAGGCAGAGATCTAAGGGTGATTTAAAAGAATCATGTACTCTTCTTCCTAGATGAGTAATATCTCCCTTGAATAGACACTACCAGGTTATTTTACACAGTAGGATAGTTACTTCTTCCAATTCAAGAGACAAGCCCTATAAAGATCCTACTGTAGTGTGCTGCACATAATGAGGAACAGAAAGGGCAATTTTACAGGATCCATTTCTTACAGAGCAAATTTCGCTTAGATTTGGGGTAGAATTCTTTTCAATAATTAATATTAAATGATGACTGGATATGACTTTCCTGAGGCCCCTGAAAAAGGAAAACAAATATTTCACAAACTAACTAAAAAAAAAACTTTTCAAATTTGGTAACAGGAGATGAGACTTGGAAGACAACTGCTTTGCAGAAAGCTGCTACTGGCTTAGGTGTTGTTACAGGAGTGCTTGCCATCTTGTTTGTCTCTGGTGTAGGGTACATGGCTGTTAGTCGAAAAAAGGGGTAAGTAGGCTTTGTATTGCTCGTGATTCATTAACAAACATTGTCAAGTCAACAATTTTATTCAAGGGAGACATATTTTGGTATGGTGGAAATAGCAATGGTCCTCTTGTCAGAGGACCTGGGTTCAGATCTTGTCATTGATGTTTACTACCTACGTGATCTTACCAAATCACTTAACCTCAGGGGCAGCTAGGTGGCACAACAGATAGAGTGCTGGCCCTGGAGTCAGGAGGACCCGAGCTCCAATCTGGCCTCAGACACATAACACTTAACTAGCTGTGTGACTCTGGGCAAGTCACTTAACCCCAATTACCTCACCAAAAGAAAAAAAAATCACAGCCTCCTTGGGCTATAGGTTCCTCATTCGTAAAATGAAATTGTTGGACTTAATGGCCTCTGATATTATATTATCTATATTCCTATGATTTCCTATGATTCCTGTGATTCCTAAATTTATATTCCTAAGGCTACTAATAGGGAAGAATACTGTGATAACATGTATGGTGAAATGCTATTTCCAATAACTAAACCAATATTTAACTCTATTAATCAACAAGCATTTATTAAACATCTATTCACCTCATATCCTAGAAGTTATGGGTGTGTGTTACTACATCCCATTTTAAGCAGCCTTCATCCCTATTGCACCACTACTGCCTGTGTGGCTATAAATTGTCTAAAAAGTTGGAACTTTACTTAACCTTAAACTCTATTTCAAAATCCACATTTAAAGTAATTTATATTTGAACTATAAAAATTTGCTATAAGCTTAAACATGACCTATAAGGTCTCTAAACCCTAAAGCAATATTTGAGAAAGAAATCAATCAGTCGTTTTCCATAGAAACCATTAGCCAAAGGAGAGATAAAGGAAAAGTTCAATTTACTGATTCAACCTCCTATGCCTACAGCATAATTTTGAAAAAAAACAGTCATTTCATAATGTTAACTTACATTGAATTTTTAATGAAATAAAGCCTTGAATACTAACGTCAAATCCTGAGTGCAGTACGTATACATTTCTTACCAGATGTGGTACAATGATCTCTTCTATATAAATACTACCTTGGATTTGGGAAGTGGGATTTGGGAAGAAGAAACTGCTGGTCCAAACTTTTACTTAGACCTGAACCCACTGGACCTGTAAGGGTCCTTTAGAAGCTATCACTTAAGCACACAACACTCAGCACACAGAGTTCAGTCTAAGGCTATTTCTACTACTACTAAGTTAGCATATATGAACTGAGATCTTTGTCTGCATGTCAAGACTAGAACCCACAAAAGAACCTCATCAGTCCCAATCTCCAAGTCTCACAGCCAAGAGAGGCTAGAGGGCCTGTGATGCATTGTAACCAAATCAGAAGTGCCTTTATATAGCAATCAACTGCCTACTGCAGTTCTTTTGCACCAAATTCAATTCAACATTTGTTGCACATTACAAGTAATGTGTGTAAAATCAGAGGCAGTACGGTGCATGTAGAGGACAGAGGATAAAGGACTTGTCGGGACGGCCTCAAGTCCTACCTATGGTGCAGGCTGTGAGACCGTGGGCAAATCACTTAATGTCTCAGTGTCCCCACTGACTCTAAAGCCACAGGTTCCAGTGGGGCTACTGCTGTGCATTCACTGAATGGAGTCCCCACACCAAAAGTTCTCCACGCTAATGAAATCCCAGATCCAGATCCCTCTACCTTCCTCCTTCCAAAAGTGCAAGACATCAAGCTAAGTACCAGAGATATAAGACAACAACGAGACAGCCCATGCCTTTAAGGCATTTATATCCTACTACCAAGGCATATATATGTTACTATACACTCTACATATACACAAATAAATTACATCAAGATAATTTGAGGAGGAAAAAAGCACTAACAACTAGGAGACTCCAGCGATAGCTCCCTAGGGTCACGTACAAACTTCTCTGCTTGGCATTTAAAGCCTTTCATAAGGTATGTCTCCAACATATCTTTCCAGACTATTATATATTTCTCCCTTTCAAGAACCCTTTGATCCAGCCAAACTGGACATGCAGCTGCCTCCCAAGCCCGGGAAACACTCCCTCACCTCTGCCTCTTAGAATGCCTAACCTACTTCAAAGTTCAGCTCAAATTCCATCTCCTCTATATGAGGTCTTTCCTGATCCCTCCAGCAGCTAGTGACTCTGTGCTCCCCCACACAAAAAAAAATCCCCTTGCATTTGTTTTATATATGCAATAGTGGTAAGAGAACTGAAGCACATGTGGCCCACAGGGAGAAGCCAGTCAACAAGCATTTATTAAGCACCTACAATGTGTCAGGCATTGTGTGAGCACTGGGGATACAAAGAAAGGCAATAACAATAATAATAATAATAATAATAATAAAATAATAATAATCTCTGCTCTCAAGAAGTTCACAGTCCAATGCAAACATGCAAACAACTAGGTAAAAACAAACTATACATAGGATAAATTAGAGCTAATCTCAAGAGTGAATGAGTTAGAGTTAAAGGGGACTGGGAGAGGCTTCTTGAAGAAGGTGAAATTTTAGCTGGAACTTGAAAAAAGCCAGGGAAACCAGGAGATACAGTCAAGGAGGGAGAGTATTACAAAAGTGAGCAACAGCCAGTGAAAATACACAGAGTTGGGAGGTGAAGTATCTTGTGCAAAGAACAGCAAGGAGGCCAGTGGCACAGGATTGAAGGGTACAATGGAGGTGAGTTAGGTTTAAGAAAACTAGAAAGGTAGGAAGGAGCCAAGTTATGAAAGGCTTTGAATACCAAACAGAGCATGTTGTATTTGATCTTGGAGGTAATAGGGATCCAACAGAGATTATTGAATAGGAAGTAATATAGTAAGACTTGCATTTTAGGAAGACTATTTTGACAGCTGAGTGGAGAATAAATTGCTGTGGGGAAAGACTTGAGGCAGGGAGACAAATGAGAAGGCTATTACAATAATCTAGACGTGAGGTGCCTGAACCTGGTTGTGGAAGTATCAAAGAAGAGAAGGAAGTGTATACAAAAGACATGATAAAGGTAGAATCCACAAGATTTGTCATTGATGGGATATGGGGCTAAAAAAGAGTAAGAAGTCCACCATGACACCCAGGTGACTGGAAGGATGATAGTACCATGGCCAAGCCACATGCTGAGCTCCCTTGATCCCTTTTACATATATTTTATATATATTTAAATGGGGCGGGGGGAAGCAAGGGAGACAGAGAGAATCTCTCCTAATAAAAAATAAGCTCCCTGAGGGCAGAAACTGTTTCTTTTTCATCTTTGTATCCCATCAGTTGGCAAAGTGCCTGACTGACTGGAAGACAGTAGGCACTTAAATATGCTTAATTGACACATCAAGTACTGTGGACCTCAGTAAATTTCAATAAACACATAGAAATGAAATCATATATTAAAAGTTTAACTAATCTGACCCTTTTACTTTTCTTCACAGGCAAAGAAGTGAAAAGCAAGAAAGCAACAAAGATTTACCTCTGACAGTTCTAAACCCAGTACTTCAAAATGTGTATTTCTAAAATGAGATCCAGTCAAATCCTCTTTGCTCTACTTAATATATTTATTGAAGGATATTGGATATTTTGTTATAAATAGAGGTTATAAAATAAAATGTATGTATGTGCTCTGAATCTTAACACAGTGTGGGTGTATTAAATAACACCAGTTCAAAACCTTTACTTAAAACAACAATGCCAAAGAAACAAAAGATGATTTTGCTAAACAATGTAGTTTCAAACATAAGCACCATAAGAAAAACAATTGCAGCTTAGTTAATTCCCTTTAACAATTTTTCTAAGTAAAATTTCTTATCTAAGAGTGTTCTAGGTCTTGAGCTGATCCCTCACCAATCTTCTACCAGTATATTAACCTTTTTTTTTTTACAAAATAAATGTTTTGATCTTCTTTTAAAAAAAAATATTTCTCAATAACTAATAGAACTTACTCTTGTAACAAAAAGCATTAATAACAGCTCCTATTCAAATTATCACCCTTTTTACAAAGTGATTTGCATGGCATCTCAGCTGATCCTCATAAAAATCCTATGAAAGAGAAGCTATGATTATCAAATCCATTTTATAAATGAGTAAACCTCAGCTTACTGAGATTTACAGCGAGATTATGTGACTTGCCCAGAGTTACACAGGTAGTGTCAAATACAAGAACCCAGATTTCCCTGATATCGAGCCCAGTACTCTATTCATTATGCCATGCTGCTTCTCAAATAAAATTGGGTAACACCAACATTGGCCATGTCTGACAATAATGGGCCTCATCCTGTGGCTACTCCTTTTCCTGTTTCACTATCAGGCCTCTGAAAGTCACTGCATTGCTCAGATTTCTGATGCCTTTCACTATTATTGGAGTTATTGTGCAACTTCTCTTTGTTCTGCTTATTTTGCTCTGCTTCACTTCACATGTCTGGCAATGCTTCTCTGAATTCTTCATGTACCTCATTTTTTATCAAGAAATCACATTCCACTATATTCAGCCCCCTTCTCTAATAAATGGGAACCCATTTCACTCCAATTTTCTTGCTACCCCAAAAGTGCTATGACAATATATTATTTCTGGGGTTTGCTTATTTAATGTGTTCTATCGATTAATGTTTCAGTTACTTAACCAGTACCAACTAGTTTTGATGACTTTGCTGTTCAGTCCGTTTCTCAGTTGTGCCCACCTCTTTGTGATCCCATTTGGGGTTTTCTTGGCAAAGATACTGGGGTGGTTTGCCTTCTCCAGCTCATTTTACAAATGAGGAAACTGAGGCAAACGGGGTGACGTGACCTGCCCAGGGTCACACAGCTAATAAGTGTCTGAGACCAGATTTGAACTCAGGAAAATGAGTTCTCCTGACTCCAGGTCTGGTACTTCATCCATTGCACCATCTAGCTGTCCCAGTTATAATATGATATTTATCCTCACTTTTTACATCGTTTCCCTTGACATTCCTGAGTTTTTATTCCATCCAATAATTGTGTTATTACTTTGTCTAGCCTCCCCCCATCCCCCACTTTTCCAAGACTTCTGGTCTTTGCCCAGGACCTTCTTCTAGAGCCTCACATCTTGCAATGGAGCTCCTCCAGAGCCTGGAACCCCTTCCTGGACTCGTTCCCAGAGTACATTTCCTGGGCTTCTCTCTAGCCTCCCTTAGGTTGGTCTTTAGGATGCCCGTCTATCCACAGGACTCTCACCTGCTTCACTATAGTGCACGAGCCTCTAGAGGAAAAAAAATCTGCCCCCAGGGCCCGCCTCCAAGCCTAATACCCAGTCACAGTCCCCGCCTCTAAAGCAAACGCTAGTCCTCAAATGACCCGCCTCAAATGCAAATATCCATCCCAGGCCCCGCCTCCAAGCCAAAATACCTTACCACAGGCCCCGCCTCCAAAGCAAAAAAAAAGAAAACAAAAAAAAACCTCTCACAGGCCCCGCCTCCAAAACATTCTACCACAGTCCCCACCTCAAAGAGAGTGCCCGCCCCACAGTCCCTGACTCCCAAGCAAATGCCCTGCCCCGTCCCCGTCTCACAAGCGTATTCATAGGCTCCGCCTCCAAGAAAAATACCCACCTCCAGGCAAAGCCTCCCAGGAAAGTGCCAACCACAAGTCCCGCCTCCAAATTCCTCCCCCAAGCACGGGGATAAGTCTCTACGGCCCCTCCTCCAAAGGCAAAGATCCGCCCCCAGGCTCCTCCTCCAAGACAAAAACTCTCCGGGGGAGGAGGGAGGGGAGGATCTCCGCTGTCTCGAACGCCCACCTCCCAGACCCCGCCCCCAAGGTCAATACCTCCCCTTGGCCTCTCCTTCAGAAGACACATAGCCCCCAAGCCCCGCCTCTAAGGAAGTACTTCTCCTAGGCCCCGCCTCCAAACCAATAACCTATCACAGGCCCCACCTCTAAAGCAAATGCCCGCCCCCATGCCCGACTCTAATACAGTCCCCACCTACAAGGAAATGTCCGCCCTACAAGCCCCGCCTCCAAGTCAAAGACCCTTATTATAGGCCCCGCCTCTAAAGCAAACGCCCGCCCCCACGCCTGCTTCATAGACAGTGTGGGCGCCCCAGACCCCGCTTCCAAAGCCAACCACCATGCCCAGGATTGTTTAGACCCTCCCTAACCCCGCCCTGGTCTCCGCAGCCCCGCACTGCGCAGCTGCCTCCAGCACCGTGGCGGCGGAAGAGAGCATGGCCTCGGCGGCCTTGATCGAGGGTTTCGAGCGCCGCTTCCTGGCGGCTCGGCCTCTGCCATCCTTCCCCTGGCGGGTGAGGGAGCGCGGGGGCGGGGGGAGGCCCGCGGAAGCCCCCTGGCCGGGCAGAAGTAGGGAAGGCAAGGACCCACGTGGGGTTGGGGGCGGCTTGTGTCCGGGCCGCGGGCGGGGCATAGGACTGGGGCCGGCGATGCGCGATGCAGGGAGGGAAGGCGCGAGTAGCCTGCCCCAGTCCTATCCGCGGCCGCGGCGGGGTGCGGGATCGTGGTGCTGCGGGCTCAGCCTGGGCCGGCACGGGAGGAAGGGCCCCCGGACCTCTTCGCCGGCCTCCTCCACGCGCCCTCCCGGGGATGCCCATTGACACTTCGGGCAGTCAGTCAACAAGCGTCCACGTAGCGCTTCCGACGTGCCAGGCACTCAGGGCAATGCTGACGATACAAAAAGAGGCACCAACACTTCCCTGCTTCCAGGAGCGTACACTCCGTACAAACAGCTATGCGCCTGCCAGGGAGAGGCAGTGTAAACGAGAGAAAATCTCAGAAGGCACGTTGTTTTTCAGTCGTGTCCGGGACCGTGGACCGTACTGTCCGTGGGTTTTCTTGGCCGAGATCCTGGAGTGCTTTGCCGTTTCCTTCTCCAGTGGATTAAGACAGACACAGGTTAAGTGACTTGCCCAAGGTCACACCAGCTAGTAAGTGTCTGAAGATGGACTAGCTGCCTCAGAAGGCACATAGTAGGCCCTTATGGAAACCTTGTTGAATGAATGAATTCTGCAAAGAATAGTTTAGCACCCTTATAGAATGATAAACAGTTCACCTTGTCCTCCCAGGGATCCCCTACTTGAACTGGAGTCACAAGACCCAAGTCAAATTCTTTCTTTTTTTTTTTGGTTTGTTTTTGTGTTTTTTATTTTTACGCAATTGGGGTTAAGTGACTTGCCCAAGGTCACACATCTAGTAAGCGGCAAGTGTTTCGTGGGAGGCCGCATTTGAACTCAGGTCTTCCTGACTTCAGGGCCGGTGCTCTATCCACTGTGCCACCTAGCTGCCCCGTCAAATTCTGTCTTAGACAATAGCTGGCTACATTGGGCAAGTCACTTAACCTCTGTCTGCCTTGGTTTCCTCAACTTTAAAATAGAGATAATTAATAGTGCCTCCTAGCATTGTCCTGTGGACAAAATAAGGTATTTGTAAGGGACTTCACAAACTTGAAAACATTACGTAAATGTTGGCTAGCTATTATTATAATTATCTAATTTTCAGAGGTCATGAACAACACTTTATGATCAGTTAGGCCCCCTCATTGAAAATGAAGCATATTACTACTTTTCCCATTCCAAGATTTTCAAAACTCCTGGTATGTGTCAGGGAGTGGGAAAGGCATAAAATAGCCTTCCCACATACGGCAAAATAATGCCCCCAAACATAGGATGGAAAGTGGTGGAAATTAGGAGAGAGGACCCTGACATAAGAACTTAGAACCTTTGATACTGTTCTGGCAGCAAATTTTCATTCTGCCAGTATATGATTTATAATTTGATTTAAATATATGATTTATAATTATGATTTAAAATGTTTTATAATTCGCTTGATATGGAGTAAACTAACTGTGGCTAAACATTCTGAATAGTACAGGTTGGTTTATATCTTTTGAAGTATTTCGTTACCTAGTGTAGATATTTATGTTATTTCAGTAACTTCAGTATCATGGTAAACAATATTATGAACATTAATCATTCAGAAAATAACATGCAAATTGTTATTGCCCTAGTCCAGCCATAAGATATTGCCAAGGTACATGCTGTCTATACTGGAGTAACCTGTGAGAGTAGTCAGAAATCTGGTGAATATAGAAGCACTTGGTGTTCTTGTATTTATAAAGATTTCTTATCCAGGACATAAACAGGCCTATTGAAGATAACTTTCTTTGGTTATGCCTAAGTTAACAGTTTATTGATATGGAAAGATGTTTCCTTATTAATTGATATGAGGAGCCAGTCTTCCTCACCTGTAAAATAAGGGAATTGAACTCTGTGATCATTGATATCTGTTCTTCTGGCTTTAAAATTCTGATTCTGAATGGGCTGTATGAAAATCAATGATTTGGGGTTGTCTTCTTTGTTTTCTCTCCTTTTCTTCGTAGATAACATCTAACATATCAAGGGCACGCTTTCTGATTATGGCTTCCACTTCTTCTTGGCCCAGGGTCTCTAGTGAATCATAACATTCTTTAGCAAAATGCACCATTTACAGGTTTAATGTTCCTCTGAAAATGTCCTTGACATTTTTCTTCATGTTTTTTACTCTCCTGTGAATAGAGCCTTGAAGAAAAATTAAAGAATTCATTGGATTCTGAGCTGCTGCTGAATATTTTGCAGAAGGTAAAAAAACAAACAAAAAAAAAAAAACAGATTTTAATGCCATCTCACTTTGAGACATCCAGGCAGACTGAGTCTCAGCAAGGATGTGCTGCCACCTGGATTGGGGTATCAGCACAATAGACAGTTTGGGATGCTTTGTTTCCATGGATGAACTATCAGAATATATAAAAGTACACTTTTTTAAAACCATCTGCAACATAAACAAAGATGACAGGTAGTACATATTTTTCTAGCTTTTAATAGATGACTTAATAGATTTTTTTAATTTACCTAGAAACTTAGGAAACAGAGATTACACATGAGTGTAAAAGCACAGTGCTTTACTCAAATGTAAGGAGATATGCCTTGGCCCTGTAAACTCTAATTTTGATCGAGACTTGTGATGGCATTTGTGTAGGGCACTTGGTCATGAAAACTCTCTTTACCTCATCTAGAATTTATAGCCTCAGAAAACTGCCTGAGCCAAAAATTTGATTAAAGGGTTGGTTTTAGAGAAAACTGGATACATTTGTATGAACACTAAGGAAGAGTAAAGTGAGTAAAAGCAACGGAACAATTTATACTCTAACAACATTTTAGAAATAAACAGTGTGGAAAGACAACTTTAGTTAATGCAATGATCAACCATGATGCAGTGATCAATCCAAAGTACCAGTAGGGAAGAATGCTGCTCACCTCTTGGCAGAAAAAGCCACATTTTTGCATATGGCCAATATAGCAATTTTTTTTTTGTTTGACTATGTATATTTGTTACCAGGATGGGGGGGGGGGGCGGCGTTTCTGAGAGGATGAGAGAGGTAGGGTAGGAAGGAAGAAGGAGAAAGCAGCTTGTTAACTGGAAAACAAAAAAGTTGCCTGGGTCACTAAGGTTGTGACTTGCCTACATTCACAAACATAGTATGTGTCAGAGGAAGGACTAGAACCCAGGTGTTCTTGGCTCTGAGGCCTGCTCTCTATCCACTATGCCATGCTACCTCTACACCTTGTAGATGTAAGGTATAAATTTGGGTTTGTTGTGTGAGCTGCTAGATACAAAGCAGTCACTCCCCCTTTGCTTAACCTGCACTTAACAGCTTACCCTTGATTGTATAGTGGAAGTATAAATCACACACGCTATACAGACTTTGCTTTTTATTTTAGCAATATGTCTTTGTCTTATATGTGGAGCAAAGATGAGATTAACATTATGGAAAACACTTAGAGAAGATAGGAAAAGAGGAAAAAGATAAAAATAACAAATAGGGAAAAATAGAAATTGAACTCAGCAATTTCCCCAAGAAGAAAAACCGAGCAGTACTATACTTTTGATTTCTGCACTCACAGAAGAGACATTTGTATAAGAAAAATAAATGAAAAATGGTGAAAAGCTTACTACCAGCCAAGCACTGGGTATATAAATAGGAAAATGGAGACATCCTCTGTTCTCAAGGAATTCACGTTCTAACTGGGGAGAGACAACACATAAAAGGAAGGTCAACTATAAGACAAATGGAAAAGTCTAACTGGGCAAGTGGCAAGATTCAGGCATTCTTAGTTTTCATCAAGACATCAGATGCAGTCGGGGAACAGATGGTAAGGCCTGATGGTCTTCTGTCTTACCGGAAGAAATAGAGTTGGTGACTCCCATTTCATCCAAGTGAGAAGAACAGTCAAGCAGCTTAGATGGGTTCTGGGCAGCAGAAAGCAAAGAAGAGGAAAGAAGGTAGAAGGAAGGAAAGGGAGACATCTTCCCTGGTGGTGGTTCCAAAGGGAATAATGTTTTAAGCACAGCTGATTAAAATGTAACATTCTCCGAAAGTCTAAACCGGTAGAAAATAGGATACTTCCTAGCTGCAATTGTATCATAATGCATTCTCTGCCAAATAAGGTAGTTTGTTAGAACTATAATCTCTTAATTGCACATACCTGTAGATTTGCAAAATTGCAAATTTTGTTCATGGTAATCCAGTGTTTTTTTTTCCACTCACTGGCAGCTCAGAGGAAATCTAAACAGAGTCAATGTGCTTTCTGCTCCTGCCAGAGGTCAGGGTCTTTCTCTGGATATAGAAGTACTTTTCTCAGCATTCCTTTATCCTGTGAAACAGATATTTCTTGAGATATTACTTTTGAATTTTGAGTCAATCTTTTGAGTGTATCAGGTATGGTTATGGTTATAACCATATGTGCCCACCCTCCATTCTCCTCCAAATCAATAGTCAATCTACAGGAATGTATTAAACTCCTACTGTGTTGTCAAGTACTTTGCTAAGCCCTGGAAATACAAATACAAAGGTAAGACAGGCCCTGCCCTCAAAATCTCCTTACTTTGAGGTTATCAAGCTAGTTTTGGGCTGTGACTCTAAATTAAAGCTTGCAAAACAAAGAAATAATAAAATAGATTAGAAGACTAGTTCCATTAACAACCTCTTGTTTGTTATTTGTCATAGACTGTCCTGCATCCACTGTGTGTGAAACATCCACCATCAGTGAAATACACTCGGTGCTTCCTCTCTGAGCTAATTAAAAAGGTAAAGAACTGACAGCTCTCCTTCACAGACAATATCCTGAACCAGAGCAGTGTGTGCTCTGAAGGTGAATAGAGTTTCTGGAACTCTTCCTGATCTTTCCTGAATGTGATTTGGATTTTTAGGAAGAGGCCAAACTTCCTTGTTCACTGCCGGCAAATAGGCTTCGAGATGATGATGACATGCTGGCTGATGTCAGAATCTAAGCCCACAAACATACCTTTATCTTCCAACTGTCTGCTTCCAGGATGGGGACTTGGAGACATTAGACACACCACAGCTGCGTGGATGGGAGAGTCTTGTCAGTCATACCATTCTTTATTACCTAACTAAGAAACGATTAGTAATTGTCATTTAATCCTCTTAGCTGAATCCTTGAATTCCTGCTCATTCTTGTATGTCCACAGCATGAGGCTGCTCACACAGAGCCTTTGGATGAGCTCTACGAAGCATTAGCTGAAATTCTTTCTGCTGAGGAATCCACCCAGTGCCATCGGAGTTATTTGCTGGTAGGACAGTTTCATCTACTTTCCTAACACTTTGACTCAGGAAGCAGTCTTACCTTTCCTACATTATTCCTGTTCATGTACACTGTGTCCAAAGTGACATTTGACACTCCATGTCCTAATGCCATGCCTTTGCGTCGATTGTCCCCCATGTATGGAGTGCACTCCCTCCTCACCTCTGTCCCTTAGACTTTTCTCATTCCCTTCAAGGTATAACTCAAATGACATCTGTATATGAAACAGTTCTGATCCTCCCAGTTGCTAGTGCATTTCCCCCACCTCCCTCCCACAAATTACCTTGTAGTTATTGTATACATAAATACATGTAACGCGCGCACACACATGCGCACACACACACGCGCACACACACACACGTTGTCTCTGGCTAGACTGTACATTCTTAAGGGCAGGAACCATTTCACTTTTTCTTCATATCCTGAGCATTTAGAACAGTTTCTGCCACAGGGTTGGGAGGCACTGAAGAAATGCTTTTTACTTGGTAGGCAAAAGTATCTTGTCTCTAGTGGCACAAATGTTATCTCACAGGACAATGGTTGCAGGAGGTGTCATTGGTCCATGTGATATACGTGATATGCACCTATACTTCAAGAACAAGCAAAAACAACTCATCAGGTTATTCAGTTCATTTTCCTGAAGAAACATAAAGGTTCTATGGCTGAATGTCAGGCATAGTCTTAGGCAGCAATCCAAATAGTGTTCTTGGTGCTATATGTAGGGAACAGCAAAGGTGAGAGAATGTGAGCATTCAGCTTCAATTTGTTGGGTTTATAGAGGCCTTAATGGCCAGAGGGACATGTTATGGGTAACTCAGGGAGTCAAAGAAGGCTCTAACTGGGATTTGTGATGATTTGCTGTTCATTTCATATTTAAAGAAGCATGTGGTTTTTACTTTGTTAAAGAACTTTTCTCTCTCCCTCTACCAGCCCTCTGGAAATTCAGTCTCCCTCTCTGAAAGTACAGCAATCATTTCTCAGGGGACCACAGGCCTGGTCACATGGGAAGCTGCTCTCTACCTTGCAGAATGGGCCATAGAAAACCCAGCGACCTTCACTAACAGGTAACAGATGGAACAGGAGCTGAAGCAAACAGGGGAAAAGTGGGTTGATACTTGCAGAAATAGTAATTTGTTGCCTTTCTTTACTTCTCACACCCAGAACAGTCTTGGAACTTGGAAGTGGAGCTGGTTTTACAGGTCTGGCTATTTGCAAGATGTGCTCTCCCAAAGCATATCTCTTCAGTGACTGTCACAGTCAGGTTCTTCAGCAGCTCAAAGGAAATATCCTCCTAAATGGCTTCTTGCTAGAGCCAGATTCCACAGCACCCCTGCAACCTTCAGTCAGTACATTGGTCTCACCAAAACCCACTGTGATGGCTGTTCAGTTGGACTGGGATCTAGTTACTACAGAACAACTCTCTGTCTTCCAACCAGATGTCGTCATTGCAGCAGGTATTGACCAAGACAGATCATGTTAGAGATGAGGAGTACAGCTTGATCAAGAGAAGGGGTACAGTGATGGAAACTGTTAAGAACAAGAAAAATTGATGGAATGTTTGGGAAATTGTTTTTCATTCCCCAGAGTAAAGTACATGCAAGGGACTGTTTCCATTGGTAACCAAGAGTTACTCAATGCATAACATCCTCATTTTAGATTACAGCTATTCAGATTCATTTCATCTATGTATGTATCAGGTGAATGATCTCTGGTTTTACCCAGTAAGAGAATCAACAGTTGTGTCCCAGATATCAGTTTTGAGATGAAATTCCCCAGGACTCCTAGCAGCAAGTCTGACCCTTTAACCAAGTCACAGTCGATTAGAGGGATTTTTATGTCATCATTTGAGGAGAGTTGTTTCTTGCTCTGCATCTTACTTTGAGAGTACTAGCAGTTCACTACTTAGTAGGCCCTCCTGAAGGCCCTAATGAAAAAATCTCTGTTGAGATTTTTGGGTGTTTTTGGCTCCCATGCCTCCACAGCCAAAAACATGAGAAACATATTCTCTTCCTCTCTTAGGTTTCTTATCATGGCTAAAGAGGAGCAATAACTCCCATTTAGAAAGTGCTTTCCTCACAACAATTCTTTTGGGGTAAATTGTGCATGTATTAAGCTCTAAGTCATAGTTTATTCATTGGTCAAATGAGGGTCTGACTTGCTCATGGTCATATAGCTAGTAATTCTAACTCCCAACCCAGTTCTCTTTTTTAACACCTTGCTTTTTAAAGAACTTACATTCCTATGGCATTTTCTATTTCTAAAACACTTTACAGACATCCCTACTTGGGTAACAAGACTTGAAGATGGCTTCAGAGACAAGCACCATTTTGAGACCTACTCATGTAGAAGAGCAGTGTTTTTCATTGATCATATTAGGAGGCCACAATAAGCTAGCCTCAGTAGTCCTATTATTCTCATCTTTTGTTCACACAGGACCTGGTTAGCATCTCTGACTGAAGTCTCTTCTGGGTGTACCTGCCAACCCTAAAATTCTATGATTCTTTATTTCTGTTGTATAGGCTGGTTGATTCTCCATTTCATCGTGAGGCCAAGATATTAGAGTGGCAGTCTATCAAAGAAATAAGAATTTTGGGGGCAGCTAGGTGGTACAGTGGATAGAGCACCGGCCCTGGATTCAGGAGTACCTGAGTCCAAATCTGGCCTCAGACACATAATACTTACTAGCTGTGTGACCCTTGGCAAGTCACTTAACCCCATTGCCTAGCCAAAAAAAAAAAAAAAATTAGTAATTTAAAAAAAAAAAGAAATAAGAATTTTGGGGGCAGCTAGGTGGCATAGTGGATAGAGCACCAGCCCTGAAGTCAGTAGGACCTGAGTTCAAATCTGACCTCAGACCAAACACTTGACATGTACTAGCTGTGTGACCTTAGGCAAATCACTTAACCCTGATTGCCTCACACACACACAAAAAAAATAAGAATTTTGTCCAATTGTTTTTAAAGAATCTTTAAAAAAAAGATCTTCTTTCGTCCCAATCATGGGCTGCAGTCATTCCAGTAAACTGGAACTGGAAAATCATCAGAACGTAACATCATAAATAAGAGCTGGAAGGGTCCTCAGACCTCCATTCATTTTTATATATGAGAGTCAGAGGTTAATGAGTTGTTCCCAAGTTACAGAATGGTAAGCAGCAGAGTGTGATTTGAAGTCAGGTCCTACTATTCCAAACCTAGTGGTCATTTTAGAATACCAATCTTAGAAGATAGAAATGGTTAAGAATAACAGTTAGGTTTTGCTTCGCTAGGCATCTTTTATATTGGCCAATCAGCTAAAAATATATATAGGCACAAGTCATTGCCTCTGATTTTTGTTTTTTGGTAGTACCTTTCAGCAGCTTGAAAATTAACTTTTCTCCTAGATTATTTCATTTTAATCTGAGTAATTTTCCTTCACCTTATGACACATAAAATGACTATAACTGCTGCATTCTTCAGGCTCTAGACTTGCTTCCTAAGTCAAAAAAGCATATAAAATTTTTAATATTTTTAAGTAATTAACTTAAAGGGAAGTGACTAATCTGAATTTTTCATTGTAGATGTGCTGTATGATCCAGAGATCATCCTCTCCCTCATTGGAGTGCTGCAAAAGCTCTCTGCTTGCCAGGCACATCAGGGATCTCCAGAGGTGTACATTGCCTTCACTATACGGAACCCAGACACTTACCAGATGTTCAAAACAGAGCTCAGTAAGTACACTGATAGGGAGGTGAGAATACCTTTAGTCTAGTTGCTTTCCTCAAGGAGACAGATCTAGGCCTGTACTAAATATGTACAAAGTGGACCTGGAGAAGGTAAAGCAAGGAGGCCAGAAGAGTGGAGAGAAAAGAAATGGTATGGCTCCAGTGACCCACTAATAGAAATTACTATGGATGGCAATTGCTTCTGGCAACAGGAATTAACTCTCAGATTGGCTGTAGCTAGTGGTAAAGCAAGGAAAGTTTCAGAGTCTGCTGCCAAGAATCAAATGGGAAAATCTTTTAGGCCTTTGAGCTCTATCTCATAGTTTTTTTATTACCTACCCAACTAAAATGACTTCTATTCTCCAATACTGAGTTAAGCATGTTACTTTTTTAAAATCCCTAAACCATTTCCCTTAATTTCTTCCCTCTCTTAAGTCTTAAAGCTAAATATAAATTTATTATTCACCAGAATATTCTCCAGACCTCTCTCTACCCTTCTAGTGTATCTGATGATATAACAGCCAAAAAAAGATGACTTTTAAGGAACAGATCTTTTATAAATTCTTCAATTTCCATCCTACAGCTAACAGCAGGAAGCGATTAGCACACTTGGTGGATTTTTTTTTATCCTAATTTTACAAGTAATTAAGTGCTTCTACAATCATTGAAGCCATTAGTAAATGAAAATATGTTTGCATTTCACAATGGTTGTGAATGTTTGGTAGGAATCAAGTTTAACAAACACTTCTACATGCTAGCACCCTCTTCTTAAGGTAGAAGGCTTTAAAGAAATAATGAACCCTGACAATATAAGCGTAATTAATGAATTTGGTAATGGTTGTTCTCTACTGTGGATTTTAGCTAAAATCAAATAGCATTGGGAAATTAGTAGATTATCCCTAAAGTGACATTTCTACTCTCAATCTAATTTTTAAAAAATTCTCATCAAAGTGTTGATATACAGTATTACATAAATCACATAACTTTATATCATTTTGTTCATTAGGAACAAAAAATAATCAAAAAGATCTCTCTGCAAGGGTCAGAATCTGATGTTCTCACAGCTTAAGGAAAACAGTAATTTTTGAACAGAAGTGTTAATACATAATATGGATGATAAGTACAATGCACACAGCTCTATACTGACGGCCATTCACTAATGCCTCCCTCTAAACCCATACCCCAAAGCACCACTGTACTAAGACATTTTCTATTTGTTTCTAGGTAGAATTGGGATTGGATGGCAGAAACTTCCTAGTCACAACCAGAAATTGTTTCCATATGAAAAGTATTCAGAGATGGTAATTCTAAGATTATTGGTGTAGATTGTGTAAATATTTCAAGGCTACAGTAAAGATTTAGAGGATTTTTAGGGAAAAGTTCTATTTTGGAGCTTGTGAATAAAACTTGAATCACTGGACCAATTATTTCCTTATAAGGAAAAAGGAAATGTGACATGTACTTGTTGCTCTGTGAGCAACTCCCTGTAAATCCAGAAACTAAAAATGAGTGAAAATACAATTATTTTACCTGTAAAGATAAAACAGCATGCTTTTTTTTTTCCATTTTAACATTAGTACATGTTTCATTTCAACCTCCAAGATTTTGACCTCTGAACTTCCCTTCTCTACTATAGTCTCCCACCCTCATTCAGATTGAACTTAACTCCTAGGTCCCTCCTTGACTGTCCTTGACACCCTCCCCAATTTTTTCTCAGCCATTTAAAACATGCTCTCACTAGCATCCTGGCACCTTTTGGCCTTTCACTCTCCTCCACTGCCACTCTCTAGCTTAAGGAAGTGCCAGCAAGTTATTTCAGCTTCTGGGCTGTTGAGTGTTACAAGGGACAGTCCTAACTGTACTAACATGTTGCATTTATACTATCTGGCCTCAGCTGGGCCCTTGGTGATTCCTGTGTTCATTAGTTGATCCCCCATCACATTCTCTATTCTGGGCATTTCAGACTTTTCTAATGTCTCCATGCACCTAATATCATCTCTTAACTCTGCTTTCTCATGGACCTTCCTACTTTCCTGAGATAGTCAAGGTTATCTAATATGAGCTACCTCAATGTCCTTCTTTTCTGGAAGAATTTCTTTCTTTCCATCATTTGTTCTGTGACTTCTCAAAGGAAGAATTACAGGATTTTAGAGTTGAAAGGGACCTTAAAGATAAAGTCTAACACCCTCATTTTTTTTTAGAAGTTTCCCTCCTAATTGTGAATGTTCCCCTAAGGTTCTCTCCTTAGCTTTTTCCTTCTATGCTTGCACAAGAATCACACACTCACAACTTCAGCTATCACCTTTAAGAAGAAGATTCCCAAATCTCCATGACCTCAAGCCTTCTAGAACCAAATTTCCAAGTGCCTCCTGGAAAGCACTTCAAAGTCAACAAGTTTAAAACTAAACTTATTATACCTCAAAGACATCAAAGAAATAATAGCTAATAATAATAGCTAGCATTTCTGTAGTGCTTTGCAAAGTCTTTCACATGTTAAATTCTTTGAACTTCATAACAACTCTAAGGTAGATGATATTATTTTTACAGATGAGGAAACTGAGGCACAGAGAGATTAATTGATTGACCAAGGGTCACCTAGCTAAGGAATGTCTGAGGCAGAATTTGAACGCAGATCTTCTTGTCTCCAAGTTCAGTGCTCCATCTTCTGTAATGCCCATATTTAGCTAGCTTGTATATCTCTTTAAATTTGCAAAGCACTTTATAAATATTATCTCATTTAAGCCTCACAACAACCCTGGGAGGTAGGTGCTGTTATTATTCCCTATTTCACAGATAAGGAAATTGAGATAGTGATTAAGTGACTTGCTCAGGGTGACACAGCTAGTAAGTGTTTGATTTGAACTCAGGTCTTCCTTACTCCAGGTCTATTGCTCTATCTACAAAAATAATTATAGTAACTTTTTATATTAGCAAAAAAGTGTAAACTAAGGAGCTGCCCATCAATTGGGGAACAGCTAAACAAATTGTGGCACGTGAATGGCAAAAAGTAATAAAATGGACATTTCAGAGAAAACTAAGAAGACTTGTAACAACTGATACAGAGTGAAATGGGTAGAATTAGGAAAAAAATTATGTAATAGCATTATAAAAGCATCCTTGAAAGACTTGAGAACTCCTATCAATGCAGTGACCAACCACAATTCCAGAGGACCTACCTATGAGGAAGGATGCTACCCACCTCTAACAACAAGGTGATGGACTCAAGATGCAGAAGAAGGCAAAATTTTCCTGGACGTTGCCAATGTAAGAATTTGATTTACTGGGGCATCTAGGTGACACAGAGCATAGAGCACTGGCCCTGGAGTCAGGAGGACCTGAGTTCAAATGTGGCCTCAGACCCTTACTAGGTGTATGACCCTGGGCAAGTCACTTAACCCCATTACCTAGCCAAAAAAAAAAAAAAAAAAGAATTTGATTTAGTTAGCTATGTATATTTGTTATGAGAGTTTTTTAATTGTTTTTGTTTATTTGGGGGTAAAAGGATAAGAGGAAGAGAAAATAAATGCTTGTTAAAAAAAATTTAATGAATAAAACTAAACTTGAGTTGCCCCAAAAACCTATTCCTCCTCCTGTTTTTTCTCTGTATATGAACAATTTTACTGTCTTTTCTCTAACTTAAAACATCAGTCACCTCTGAAATAATCCTCTTACTTCCCAAACTATCAACTTCCTTTCCATTCCTACTACTCTGGTTTAGACCCTAACTACTTCTTATCCTACTGATTGTTGCTTTACCTTTGGAAAACTTCAAGTGTTACATGAATGTAAGGTACTATTATCTTTCATAGCCTAGTTCAGATATTATTTTTTCCATGAAGTTTTTCATAATTTCCTCCACAAGAATTAGTCCCTCTCTGTGTCTCGACATTCTTTTACTTCTCCTATTTATTTAATCATTTTCTAATGTCTTATAGATAATGGGCATGTTTCTTCCCTTTATAAAACTATATTACTTAAGGACAAGAATGTAATTGTTTCAACTTTATCTATACCATCTTAGCATGATGTCTTGCACACAGTAAGTTCTTACTTAAAAGATTTTTATTGAATTCAAGTCTTTGGCCAAACCCCTCAATTTTGAGTAAACAATGGGAACACAGTCTGCTCCCAACTCTCATCCCAGCGAAGCTGCTTTGATTCTGTAAGGTTTTTTTCTGAACTGTTTCAATCTGTTATCAGGACTGGAAAATTCTGAAAAGAGCATCTATAAAAGAGAAACAAAAGTTGAAGGCCTCACCCATTGTGCTTATTGGACTCTTCTCCCTCCCCTCATCAGGCAGTGAGACCCCAGAAACCTAGCTTTCTTTTACCATTCCCACCAAGGATACCATTAGCAAATGAGACTAGAGAGATGAAGATGAGGGTAGAATGCAATGGTGTTGAAGAGTCCAAGCTCAACATCTCTACCTTCAGCTGATCTGCAAGCTCCTCACAGTCCATAAACACCATGCCATTTACTTCATGTTTCACAAGTTCATGTAAACTGCAAAAAAGAATCACAAAAGAACTGAAACTTGGAAGAAGAAACAAAGTATCATTGCACCACCCTGTAATGATCTACTTCTAAGGGCAAATGGAATGAGAAAAATCTGTTTTTTATTTGCTGATTATACTGTGAATCTGATAAATAGAGGTAAAAGTCAACCCTCAAAGACAGGCTCCTTCACATTGGTGATTACACTCCATACACAATACACTAACTGTAAAACAGTGACAGGCTGAGACTGCAACTGGACTTCAGTTCACAGAAGTTCTAAGTCCGTGAAAATGGTTCAGGTACTGTACCAAGTAACTTTCAGAAACCCTTCTCCGTTGCTATATAACATACAAATTCTAAAATCCCTACCACTGAAAATGTACAACACAAACTGGCAAGCAGCATCCAAATATATCCACCACCTTCATGGGAAGATCCAAGCCACTGGAGGATTTGTGGAGGCAGACACCAAAATCTGCTGATCCTGCCAAAGTAGGGAGAAAGGAAACATTTTTAGAAAAATAAGGCAATCTATAAAACAGTCCTAAAGGGGCTCTACAGACTAGAACTACTGGTTCTATAGGCAACAGCTGGGATGTGGGTTAAAGTAACAAAATTTCCAACCATCTTGCTTAAAAGTACCCCAAAGAGAGTGTTCACAATTGGCATTAGCCACTAGAACAATATGCTGATACATACAGCCTACAGGAAGCTGAAATTTACAAAGGGATAAAATAATTCTAAAGATCTCCACTGAAGAGAAAGATTTTTTTCAAAGGCAGGATAAATTCCTATTTGCATTTCTCTAAGAAGAGATGCTAAGTTTTATTTAATTAATAAATCTGTCTCTGACAGATTTATAGCCAAAACAAAGAACTTGAATTTTCTTCCAAGTTAGGTGATAGAGAATTCAGGGCTTAAAAAGCAGGATAGAAATAAAATCCTACTGTGCCAGACCCAGTCCTTCAGAAAAGAATAAATGAGTGGAAGATTCAGGGAGAAGAGAGAACATGTTCTTCAATAGCAGACTGCAAAGGGATTTCAGGAAATGGGAGTGAGGAGAGACAATAGCACCTCAGTCTAGGGAGTCCCATCTGGGACATAAGGAAGGCTCCTTTTACTTGAGTTCAATCATTTGCACCCATCCCTCAGGCACCTGTTCCCAAAACTTAAAAAAAAAAGTGTCTATTTACTCTCACTCAACAAGGTCTTGGTATATCTCTATTAGCCTCTTGCTGGGTGGCTCTAGTCCATAATCTCTAAGTGGCATTCCATTTTCAGGACAAGCCTATTCTCCATAGGCTGCTCTTACCCAGAAACAAAGTAATCTTCAGTTTCCAACCATGATGTGCAGATCTGAATGTGCTTAAGGCACATCTGGCTTATGATTTGGCCATAATGCTCTTAATTTAAGAGTCCCTTTCCCTTTGGTGAACAGGAAAACACAGTCATTGCCCTTTAATGTCTCCCTGTTCCTTGCAAACATATCCCAAAATTTCAGCCACCTTCAACCCTCATTTAGCAATCCTACATTGGAAATAAGTAGTCCCTCTCATGGAAACATTACTCTATGGGCCTCAGTTAGGCATTCCGAGTCAGAATCCTTTCTTGCTCCCATTCATAAATAAGATCAAAAGCCCAAAGAACCATAAGAAATTCAACAGGCTCTCTCATTGATCAAGCCAACTCCCCCTTTCCCCCATCTCACTACCATGAGTCAGAAAGGGGGCAGGTTACAGATTGGTCAGGCATCCCACCAAGAAAACAACTGGTTCTTTTAAATACCCACAAATGAACTTTTTGAAATAGAATCCAAAATGGCTTCTCTGTATGTCTGTTAAGCAGTTTTAAATACTGCCTGACTGACATTCACTATGCGCAGTGACAAAGACACAAGTAAACACAAGGCACCTGTTATCACACAGACTAGAAACGAGGTTTGCTCCGTCGATGGTCCATTGTTCAAACTCTAAAGAATCAACAAGGATACCAAACAAGAGATAGAGAACATTATGAAATGCAAAATGGATAATTTTAATTACATAAAAAACATTTTGCACAAACAAAACCAATGCAACCAAGATTAAAAGGAAAGCAGAAAACTGGGGGGAAAATGTTAAAGCCAGTGTTTTGGATAAAGTTTTAATTTCTCAAATATATAGAAAACAGTCAAATTTGTAAGAATACAAGTCACTCCCCAGCTAGTGAATGCTCAAAGGCTATGAATAAGCAGTTTTCAGATGAAGAAATCAAAGCTATCTATAGTAATATGGAAAAATGCTGTAAATCGTGACTGGTAAAAAAAGGCAAATTAAAACAACCCTGAGGTACTACCTCATACCTATCAGATTGGCTAATATGACAGAAAAGAAAAATCATAAATGTTGAAGAAGATGGGGGAAAATTAGAACACTAATGCATTGTTGGTGGAGTTGTGAGAACTGATCCAACCATTCTGGAGAGGAATTTGGAACTATGCCCAAAGTTCAACCAAACTGTGCATACCCTTTGGTCCAGCAATACCACTACTAGGTCTGTATCCCAAAGAGATCATAAAAAAGGGAGAAGGATCCACATATACAAAAATATTCATAGCAGGTCTTTTTGTGGTAGCAAAGAATTAGAAATTGAGGGGTGCCCAGCAATTGTGGAATGGCTGAACAAGTTATGGTATAAGAATGTAATGGAATACTATTGTGCTATAAGAAATGATAAGCAGGTGGACTTCAGAAAAACCTGGAAAGACTTATATGAACTGATGCTGAGTGAAATGAGTAGAACCAAGAGAACATTGTACACAGTAACAGCAACATTGTGAGATGATAAACTGTAATAGACTTAGCTCTTCTCAACAATACAATGATCCCAGACAATTCCAAAAGACTCATGATGGAAAATGCTATCCATATCAAGAGAAAGAACTATGGACTCTGAACACATATGGAAGCATACTATTTTCACTTTTTTTTGTTTTTTGTTTTTTCTTTCTTGTGTTTTTTCCCTTTTGTTCTGATTCTTCTTTCACAACATAACTAATGTGGAAATATATTTAACATGATTGTGCATGTAGAACCTATATCAGATTGCTTATTGTCTTGGGGGTGGAGGGGAGGGAGGGAGAAAAATTTAGAACTCAAAATCTCATAAAAATGAATGTTGAAAACTATCTTTACATGTAATTGGAAAAAATAAAATACTATTAAATTGAAAATTTTTAAAATATTGCTTATGTTCAAGCATGAAATAGGAAAATAGGAAGTAGCAAAAAAAAGCCCCCAGTACAACACACCCTTTGAGACAATACTGTAATGCCCAAAGTGTCCAGTTCAAAGACATCAAGACCCATCCAGCTCGTGCTGCTGACCATCAAAGCTGGCTGTCCATCAAGCTGTATTACCTTCCTGCTCCTAGGATTGAGCTCAGTGAATGCAGATCTCTCAAAGACTGGGTCCCAGGGTTCTGTGCTAAACAGAAACAGAGATAAGGACATTATCAAATGATAGAGATTAGACCAGCATCTCCTTGATGTGGATGGAGTCCCTGAGACACCAGACAGTGTGGTTCATCTCCCTATACCATTGTATGGACAGAGTATACAATGGTATAGACAGAGGTCCTGGGCCAAGCACTCAAGCCAACAAGAGTCTTATTTATCTTTATGAGACCTCCCAGGTGACATACACCAACAGACTTTCTTGTCATCAAAAGCCTCAAAGATAAGGGGGGAGAAATGTTAACATTATTCTTACCCTACCTGAATTTTCTTAAACTGTGGCAAAGATTACAGGCTCAAGTGAGAGAACAAACTAGCTACTTGGGGTGTGGGAGACATACGTTGCTCTGAATGGGGAGCAGGTGTGGCCCAGTTTCATGAACAGCTGATGTTGTGTCTCTAGGGAAGAGACTTGCTGGCTTGTTATAGACAGTCACAGCTCTGCAGGAAGATCATTGAGATCATCTCTAGAGAGAAGACCAGGAAGCAGGAAAGCTGGGAAGGACCAGGGAAGTGTAGAGACCAAGAGGACAGGCTCAGGGCCCAAGAAAATTACATTCCCTTTTCCCTTCCTACTCAGGAGCAGTCAGAGCTCAGAATTTTTCAGAGAAACCTCCAGAGATATTTTCAGATAAATTGAACCATCTGTATGGATGAGGAAAGGTTTTACTTACCCTGCTCCTTCTGCATACTAACATAACTAGTAAACATACCCTTGTGCCTGGTGTTTTCGAAGTCCTTTACAAACATTCCTGAACACACAGTTCCCCATACAGTGAAACTTTCCCCCTTCTCCTTCCAATCCTAATTGTCTGTCCAGGGGCCTTGCATACCTTATATTCCAGTTCTTTGCCAGATCTCTCATTACAATGGTCCCACACAGATCTGATAGGTGGCCACAGAGCTTTTCATACTTGGAAAAGATACATTTGTCAAACTCCTATGCCAGGGCCCGATCCATCACTACCATGACTACTTATGGTCAGTCAGTGACTAAGTATTTAAGCTTGGTAATTAACCATCCCAGGGCACTGGGCATCGAATGCCAAGAGTAGCCTTCTCCAGATCACTTGTGGGAAGTAGTCCAGGCCTGTACAGATACTGTCCTGTGGCTGTACTACAATAGATTTTTTAGTTCCTCATCTAACCTCCCCCCACCCCAGATCAACACAACAAGCTGACTTTGTCATACCTCTCTGCACTATTGCTCCTTCCCTAGTCATCATCCAGCTGTGTCCAGAGTGCCCAGTTTGTCACTCAGTCTTAAGACCCTTCTGCCCCTTCACCACCACTTAGCCAGCTATACAAGAGGGTGGACAAATCCATGTGTCAGACCCAAAATGGTATAGCCGTAGTTGTGCCAATCAATAACTAGCTTACTCCAATGTAGACAACACACAACCCAGCACAAACCAATGCTGGGCAGGCCAGGTGGGTTGTGTGAAAGAGATAAAGTCAAATCAAAAGCAAGAAACTTTGAAACTCTGGACCAGGAAATCATAGGCACATAACCCAAACTCAATTTAAAATGATATCTTTGAGTCCAAGAAACTTGTAAGATCAGCAAGAAAGGTCTGTCACGGGTAAAAGAGGAGCACATTCTAGGACAGGAAGCGTTCCAGAAAGCCAACAGCAAGCCACCCTCAACAAACCAGCAAGAGATCCTAAGCCCCAGTGCAATGGAGCAGGCAAACACCAACACCAGGACCCCCTACACTTGCCTCAGCATAGCCAGGGGACCAGGCAGACTCCAGCTATGAGAACCACCATGTGCTTTAGCTTAGCCCCTGACAAACAGGCAATCTCCAGGGACCAGACCTTCACATGTTTCAGCATAGCTCCAGCCAAACAGGCAGCCTCCTGTGGCCAGACCTCCACATGCTTCAGGATAGTCCTGCACAAACAGGTAGAGCCAACCATACAGGTGCCTAAGCAAACAGGCAGCAGCCAGCAGCAAGACATCCATGTCCTCCAGTGTAGCCCTGGGGAAATACAGAAACACCCCTACGGCCTCAGCACACCCCAGACACCAGCACTAGGACCGCGGCTCAGCATCAGGTAAGCTGCCAGACCCCTATGGCCTCCAGGAGCATCAGCCCCCACCCACCCCACCCCCTCATCTCAGCACCAGACAGCAGGGTCACCCATGGGCCTCAGGGCAACACCAGTGCAGCACCAGGTAAACAGTCAGGGCCTACAGTCCTTGGCACAAGACAGTGTCCCTTCCACCCCAAGAGCATAGCTCAAATTTAAAAGAAAGGAAAAAGGCCAAAAAAGATGAGCAAAAAACAACAAAAAAAAAATCTGACCATAGAAAGTTATTGTGGTGACAGGGAAGATCAAGACACAAACTCAGAAGAGGACAACAATGTCAAAACACCTACAGGCAAAGCCCCAGAAGAAAATGGGAAGTGGTCTTGAGCCCAGAAAGAACGCATAGAAAAACTCACAAGGAAGCTTTAAAATCATAAAGAAGAAGTAGGAGGAAAATTGGGAAAAGAAATGAGAGTGATGCAAGAGAATTATGAAAAAAAAAGGAGTCAATAGCTTGGAAAAAGAAAAACACTGCTTACAAAGTAGAGTCGGCCAAATGGAAAAGGAGATACAAAAATCCACTGCAGAAAACAACTCCTTAAAAAGTGCAATTGGCCAAATGGAAACAAAAGCTAATTGAGGAAAAGAACTACTTAAAAGTTAAATTGGACAAGTGGAAATGGATGACTCTATGTGACATCAAGAATCAATCAAAGAAATTTATAAGAATGAAAAAATAGAAGAAAATGTAAAATTCCTCATTGGAAAAAAAAAACAACTTACCTGGAAAATAGATGCAGGAGAGATAGGTCAGAATCATACTACCTGAAAGCCATAATCAAAAGGCAGTCCTGGATAGCATCTTTCTAGAAATTATCAAAGAAAATTGCCCTAATATCCTGGAACCAGAAAGCAAAAGAGGCATTGAAAGAATGCACCAATCATCTCAGGAAAGAGATACCAAAATAAAAACTCCAAGGAACAGTATAGCCAAATCACAGAACTATTAGAGCAAGGAAAAAATACTGCAAGTGGCCAGAAAAAAACAATTCAAATATTAAGGAGCCAAAATTAGGATTACACAGGACTCTGCAGCTGCAACATTAAAAGATCAGAGGTCATGGAACATGATATTCTGGAAGGCAGAGGAGCTAGGACAACAACCAAGAATCACCTACCCAGTGAAATTAAGTGCAATACTTCAAAAGGAAAAAAAAAAATGGTCATTCAATGCAATAGAAGGATTTCAAGCTTTCGTAAGGAGACCAGAACTGAACAAAAAATTTGATTTCCAATATCAAGACCTAAGAGAGGCCTAAGAAGGGAAAAAGGGGAAAAGGGAAAAGCATATGGAAGGAATTCAATCAAGCTAAACTGTTTACATCCATACATGGGAAGATGATACTTGTAATTCTTAAAAATTGTATCACTAATAGTACAGCTAGAAGGAATATACATGAACAGAGGGTACAGGTATAAAGTGAATTGGAGAGAATGACATAAAAATAATTAAGGGATGAGAAAGAGGAGTACACTGGGTGCAGAAGGAAGGGAGAGGTGGAATAGGGTAAATTATTTCACATGAAAAGGGGTAAAAAAACTTATTACAGTGGAGGGAAAAATTGGAGGGTGGGCAATGGGCATCACTTGAACCTTTCTCTCATCAGTATTGGCTCAAAGAGGGAATAATATATACAATCAGTTGAATATAGAAATCTTTCTTACCCAACAAGAAAATAGGAGGCGAGGAGATTACATAAAGGGGGGGAGGGGGAGACTGACAGAAGAGAGGGCAGACCCAGGGGAAGGCAGTAGACAGAAGCAAACACTGGTGAGGGGGGAAAGGGTGAAAGGAAAGAGAGGACAAACAGGAGGAAAAATAGGATGGAAAGAAATACACAGTAATCATAACTGAATGTAAATGGGAGGAATTCTCCCATAAAACAGAAGCAAATAGCAAAGTGGATCAAAAACCAGAATCCTACAATATGTTGTTTACAAAAAACACACTTGAAGCAGAGAGAGACACACACAGAGTAAAGGTAAGGGACTGAGGCAGAATCTATTATGCTTCAGCTGAAGTTAAAAAAAAAAAGCAAAGGTAGCAATCCTGATCTCAGACAAAGCTAAAGCAAAAATAGACCCAATTAAATGAGATAAGGAAAGAAACTGCATCTTGCTTTAAAAAAAAATACCATAGGCAATGTAGTAATATCAATACTAAACATATATATACCAAATAGTATAGCATCCAAATTCTTAAAGGAGAAGTTAAGTGAGTTACAGGTTCATGACCAAACATGAGATAGAGAGCATTATGAAATGTAAAATAGATAATTTTGGTTATGTTAAATTAAAAAGCTTTTGCACAAACAAAACCAATACAACCAAGATTAGAAGGAAAGCAGAAAGCTGGGAAACAATCTTTAAAGCAAATGTCTCTGATAAAGGCCTCATTTCTCAATATAAGGAACTGAATTTATAAGAATACAAGCCATTCCCCAGTTGATAAATGGCCAAAGGATATGAATAGGCATTTTTCAGAGGAAGAAATCAAAGCTATCTATTAGCATATGAAATCACTTTTGATTAGAGAAATTCAAATTAAAACAACTTTGAGGTACTACCTCACACTTATCAGTTGGCTAATATAACAGAAAAGGAAAATGATAAATGTTGAAGATGATGTGTAAATATTGGGACACTAATGCACTGTTGGTAGAGTTGAGAACTGATCCAACCATTCTGGAGAGCAATTTGGAACTATGCTCAAAGGACAACCAAACTGTCCATACCCTTTGATCCAGCATTACCAGTACTAGATCTGTATCCCAAAGAGATCATAAAAAGGGGGAAAGGACCTATATATGCAAAAAAATTTAAAGAGGCCCTTTTCATGGTGGCAAAATATTGGAAATTTAGGGGATACCCATCAATTGGGGAGTGGCTGAAGAAGCTGTGGTATATGACTGTAATAGAATACTATTGTGCAAAAGAAATTACTAGCAGGCAGATTTCAGAAAAACCTAGAAAGACTTATACGAACTAATGCAAAGGAAAATGAGCAGAACCAGGAAAACATTTTACATAGTATCAGCAACATTATGTGATGACCAACTATGAACGACTCTGCTCTTCTCAGCAATACAATGATCCAAGATAAATGCAAAGAACTCATGAGGGAAGATATTATCCACATCCAGATAAAGAATTAATGGACCCTGAATACAAATCAAAGCATACTTTTTTCATTTATTTTATTCTTTTTTGTGTTTTTTTTCCTTTTGATCTGTTTCTTCTTTCACAACTATGACTAATGTGGAAATATGTTTCACATGACAGCAC